TACTAAATAAAAAAAATATATATATATAAAAAAAAGCATTTATATTCATTTTTATTGATAAATTAAAAAAGAAACTTCTGTCCTTTGTCCACATAATCTAATAAGATGCATTTTAAATGATAAATTGTTCTTTCTTGTATTTTTACTGTTGGATTCAGTTTGAAAAATGAGTGAATGAATGATGCATCTTAATTTATTCATAGGTGAGGTGTTCATTGAGTTCAAATGAGTAACGGTACAATAAAAACCCCGAATTCATCATGAGAAATTTTCTTTTTAAATCTTTCTGAACAGGTGTTTGCAAAGGCAACATAGGAAGTGTAAAAAGAAAAAGAATTGTTAAGTAAAAACAGCAATTGTTGGAAAAAAAAATATTATTTATAAACAAAAATGAATAAAAATTCCAATTTTGCACATTATTGTTCATGTTTTCCACCAGTTCTTTCCCAGTCTCCCTGATTAAGCTTATGCTATTTCATTACATTGACAGAAAAACTGCCTGTCATATAAGGTGGTACGTTTTTCAGAAGATTTACACACAGGACAAGTTCAAAAATATATAAAACAATTGTGATAATCATAAGAGAAACAAAAAGTTATTACTTATTTATATTTTCCAAGGACCCTAAAGGGGCCAATAGGTGGTTTCATGTGCGAATAACGTTTAGAGAAATTAACAATTTGCTAAAGCAACCAGCTCATGTGGTTTGATGCTTCTTCAGGCCTCATCTTACCATCTCTACCTACAGCTGTAATTGCAGTAAAAAGTCCCCTTGCAGAGGATTGATTCTTGAGGCTAAAAAAGCCTGCTCCAAAAAGTATAAACACCAACAGCACAATTTAACTCCAAGTCAGTCACACTTGTTTAAAACCAACCTGTCCAGTTAGGATGCAGCACTGGTTGTGGATCCATTTGACCTGCTGCTGGACAAATGAAACAGACAACAGGAGCAAATAAGAGGCAATTTGTAAGACAACCTCAATAAAGGAGTGGTTTTACAGGTCCTAACCACAGACACTTTGTTTCTCTGTTTCCACCTTTTTTGGCTGATATTTTGGTCACATTTTTGCATTTTGTCAGTTTTCTCCTCCCTAGATGTAACATACTGTAAGGCGGTGTCTAAAACTTACAGAAGCTGCTCAGATAGTGCCTTTCATCCTAGATGGCACATCAGTGTGAGCGGTGGCAAGAAGGTTAATTATACCTCATAGCACAGTGTCAAGAGTAGGGATGAGCTATCAGGAGACATGGAGAGTGCCATAAGAGAGCAAAAACCCAGCAGCAGGACTGTTACCACCACCTTTGTGCAAGGAATGACAGGGGGCGTACAGCCAGAGCCCTGCAGAGGTACCTGTGACAGGCCACTAATGTGCATATTTCTGCTTCAAATGTCAGATACAGACTGTGTAAGGGTGGTATGTGGGCCCAACACCATGTAACGCGATTCAAATTTTTCAGAGAACACCGATTGGAAACCAAGTGCTTTTTGATGTACTAGAGCAGGTACGCACTGAGCTCATGTGAAAGATCTGATAGAGTCTAGGGACATCATGGTGGCACAGCTCTGCATGGCTTGTCAGAGGCACCCTGTTTGCCATGTAGTACTGGGACGAAGTCCTCTGAGCATCTCACCTGATCGCATCTTGTCTGAAGTTGTGATAAAAAACTTTTAAAGCAGACCTTTGTTCATCTTTTACATTTTCTGAGACTTCTTTGTGTTTTGGAAATATAGATGTGCTCCATCCTCTGAAGAGTATGCATTTCTATGCAAATTCCTGGTAATATTCTTGGAGTATGCTCCTGCAGTGAAGGGTGGTTTTATTTCAGAACAAATCAAGATCACTCATTGGTCAGATGTGACAAACCTCTACGACTGATTGGCAGGTGGCGTAATATTTATTGTGAGACTTTATGATGGTGCAGTAGGCCTTGATTTCCTTCTGATGGATGACAGCATTATGCCTCAATTGGCTGACATGGGACAACATTTTTATGAAGGCATTGACGTAATAAACCATGCTGCTTATTCCCCAGACCCAACACCATGTTGCACCTCTGACTGTCTAGGGCTTGACTGTTGCTTTAATCCAGGTCTGAGAAGAGATCCCCTAGGAGAAAATCCATTGTCTCATGAGCATGTCCAGACGTTGTTGGGAGCTTACATGGGCAGGTGGAGACTCCACACCCACACAGGGAACTTCCACTGAATTTGGATCAGCCTGCAATACAATAGACCCATTTACACTACCTTTTTGCCGAGAACGGTTCGAGGACAATAACCGAGAAGACTGTTGAGTGTAAATGGAATGCAACTGAACTGGACCGTGCTAGACACAACTGAACCGCTCTAAATCTAGTACTAGTTCAACAGCAGGGCTCAAAAGTGGTGGCTCTGTTCTCTGATAAGAAAGAGGGCATGAGGAGACTGGGTCATCTCCTATTTACAGTCAACTGACTCATATCGCAGGTTTTCCGTCATGTCTAGCTTTGCAATTCACAGATCTCTTCACATCCTAACAACACAAATTTCTTCTCAGCTTATTAACAATAAATAGCATCGAAAGAGCGTGGTGAGACCTGGATGATAGAGAGACTGAGGCTCTCATTGAAATTTTGGCAGAGGACGCTATCCAGGCACATAAGTTCCTGAATATTATAGGCACCGCCATTTTTGCTTGCGTAATTCCCATTTTGAGAGCTGTAGTATCGTGTGATGGTCATAAGTACCAAGTTTGGCACGGTTCACTGATCCAAGCTCAGTCCAAACTCGGCATGGATCAGTTTCAGGGGGATAGAGTAAATGGGACAAATGTCACTTTTTAATGATGGGTTCTAAATCCATGTAAAATGCCTTGAGATGACATGTATTGTGATTTGGCCTTATATAAATAAACTGAATTTAATTGAAATCCAGACAACTATGCGATTATAACCTAAATTTGAATGTCAATTAGAAACAAGTAATTGAATCAAGTTTCTCCAACTTAATTTAGGAAGATTGTAAGTGGAATACTTTAGTAAATTAGTTTGGGCAACCTCAGTTCAAGTACTTGTTACCATTTGAAGCAATTCATCTATGCTGGAGCTGTATTGTACTGCCATACAAGCTGTTATTTGAGTCTTCATTTCATTTTAGAGCAGTATACAACTGTATGCCATACCTTTCCAATTTGTATTTCTAAAAAATGCAACAAAAAAAAATTATTCATTGAGCAGTTATGTGCCATGATTAATAAAAATACATCCATCCCTCCATCTATTTTCTTACATGCTTAATCCCAAGTGGGGCCGCAAGGGGTGCTGGTGCCTATCTCCAGCTGTCTACGGGCGAGAGGCGGGGTACACCCTGGACAGGTCTCCAGTCCATTGCAGAATAAAAATACATATACATATGTGCCAAAATTAAAAACTATTTTGAAAAGCATTGTCACAGTTTTACCATTAAGGTTAAAACAAACAAAATAAATGAATATATTAATAACCCCTGATTTATTGGACAAAATAAGGTTTCATTGTAAGTGCTCCACACTAGTTCCAAACATCAGCAACGAAGATAAAGCAACACCTTGTCCAAAACTAGGACCCTTGGAGTACAACTTTTAAAACAGTTTTCGATAAGAATTTAATAAATGTTTTTTTTTTCTCTTTCTCTCTCTCTCTCTGGAGCAGTGGCGGTTCTAGACCAAATGTACCAGGGGGCCAGGAGGGGGCCAGCGTGTTTTCATGGGGGCAAAGAAAGACATGAGCTAAAAAACAGGGCAAGGGATTCAAATATATTAAGAAAAGTGCATGAGGGGAAATTTCAATTCAGTTACGTTTAATTCAAATTCTATGTCTAATTAGATTAATATGCATTCAGAATTTGACAAATTTGTGACTTAATTTGAGTTAAAATAACCGTTTTCTTTCAAAATTCAGTTGTAAAAATTACAGTATTTTTATTTCATCGGTCTTGGAAAAAAAATTTAGCAGATGAAAACTGGGATCGTATCCCAATACCACTGAAGCTATCACCTTATTGTTTTTACATCAGAGGCGTAGCCAGAAAGGTTTTATAAGGGTGGCCTGGCAATAACCAATGTACACTGAGGGGTGGCAAAAAGTGGATAGGCACCAGAACCTCAGGGTCAAGCCAAAGGAAAGACTAACTATGCTTTCCTACAGCCTTTGCTTACAAATAGACGCATATATTTAAACATCCGTGCTTTCTAGATAAAAGGTATAGTGGGTAAAATACTTCAAGGTGTGAGTTCTAGGGTGAACGTCTTTTTCCATTGTCATCACCTACCTACTTTTAGCAATAATCATTCTACATAAAAATTATATTTACAAGTAAAAATATCTACATAAATTGATTATTTAATACGTTTTTATTAAAATGATTGTTTATCTATGATTTCACTGAAGACTCCTAGATGACTTGCAGAGACACATCATTTTCTCTTTACCCCATATAACACAAAATCTAGAGCATGAATTCTGTACTTATCATCTTTAATGTTACTATATTGATGTGTATAATTAACCACAGTGTTTTTGTTTTCTAGAAATTATGAATATATGAAAAAAAAGGTAAGTAATACATGAAAAATGAATATTGGACTTTAGAGTAATACTGTTGCCACCATCTGTATTAGAGGGAGAAAATTGGTAGGGGTGGCCAATGATTGGCTAAGGGTGGGCATGGCCACCCCTGGCCCCCCATCTAGCTCCACCCCTATTTTAAATAATTAGTAAAACAAAATTTGTAAAAAGAAAAAAAAAAAGAAAGAAAAAAAGGACCATAGGACCAATCAGTAACCATGTCTGTTCCAGCGCATATCATCAATAGAATTTCTTTGAGTATTATGTCTTCAGTACAGGGGCCAGGACAGGATCTACAGGGGCACTGGCCCCCATTGGCCCCTGTGTAGAGCCGCCCATGCTGTGGAGACAGCAGGCAGAATCATTAAGCCTGCGTTGAAAGAATTGCCAAGTTAAAAGATGTCGTCACACACGCGGTGGCTGCGCTGCGCACACGCTCAGCATCCGATTGGCTGCGAGAATCTTCCAAGTCTGGTCTCTCACCGGCTGCTCCCCACCAGAAGTGATCACTTCATCTCCGTCTGACTGCCAAGGAACCGGTCGTCATGCTGAGGAACAGCGCGAACAGGTCGGTGTCACACCCAGAGACCCCTCTGTAATCACACATGTTTATAGGGGAGTGGATTTTTTCCATAAATGACGCGCTCTGTGCACAGGCTCATCCTGCATGCACCGATATATAGAAAGATCCTCCTGTAACGTTTGGTTCAGCTGGGCACAGAAAACAGATGCTGCAGGAAGCTCTGATCCAGATGTGTTCATTTGAGTGTTTAAAGTGTTTAAACTTGACTGATGTCTTTTCAGAAACATGCATCAAGGAGAGGAGGTGAGGCTGCGCAGCGGGAGTCTGGCTCGGGAGAGAAAGCACCTTGCTTTGTGCATCAATAACAAGGTAAGAGGATTAACAGCTGGAATAGCCTTTCTTTACTTTTGGGAGAACATTCTTAGCAATTGATGGCTAATTGGCTTTTATTATTAATTTGTTTACTTTTGTGTGAGAATATTGCAGGTATGATGTCATTTATTCAGCAGTATAAGTTTATTCTTGCACTGATCAGTAAAAGCTAGATCACAGGTAACACAAAGCTGTACTTACAGTAAAAGAGACATAAAGAGGTTCTACATATTGAAATTTAATTGGCTGGGGTTCTTTTTTTCATTTTTTGATCAATTTAAATTATAAACTGAGCTTGACTGCATTGCTTTGCTTTGTAATCATGTTATAAAGTATTGTATTTAATTGACAATAGTTTTTCTCTATAATAAAATTTACTTAATTTAAATTTCTGTATCTAAACTGGATTTGTTTTGTTTTTTTTAATGCAAAGTGCATTAAGATTAAGGTTGTTTTAACTCAGAGGTATGAAAATACGATGAATAAAATTGACTTGTCATTGCTTTTAGTAGTCAATGCTTTTAATAGTTTATATTTAGTCAGTGGTGTAAAAAGCACACACATTTGTTAATTAAGTCGAAGTATAGATACTGCAGTTTAAAAACACTGGTGAAATTTGAATGACCAACTTGACCTCTTTACCTAAGTAAAAGTGAAAAAGTATGTGCTCCAAAAACTACTTAATGTATAAAAGTATACATTAATGAAATGAAAGCTCAATTTTTCGATTATTTCGAAAAATTCTTTGAGATAGGGCCAAGGATGACGGAGATCTTGTTGGTCTCCATCTCCCGATACGCTCTCTCCTGTGTCTGACCTGTCAGACATTTCAACATCTTTTTCTGAATCGGACATTGTAGCATGGCATAGACAATTCACGAATGCAGTTTGAAGAACACCTGCTTGCTTCTAACAAATGAGTGTTTGTGTTATATGACTCATCCAATTCCACTAGTTTTCACTAGATGTGGATGGCGCCAATAATCTGCATTGGATGGTGCACATGGCGTGAAATAAATATTTATAAACATTAAACTGAAGCCAAGAGTAACGAGTAACATTTGTTTTAAAAATGTAAGGAATAGAAAGTACAGATAGTTGTGTGAAAATGTAATGAAAAATAAGTAAGGGGAGTAAAGTATAGATACCTAAAAAGTGCACTTAAGAACAGTAAGTATTTGTATAAAGTATTTGTACTTTGTTACTTGACAGCTCTGTATTTAGTATAGTGTTGTTAAAAATCACTATGCTTGGAGCAAACATATCAGACAATTGGAATATGATTAAAAATGAAAACTCTTGCAAAAAGACTTTTTTCATGCTTTCATTATGGTACAAAATCTTCAGCATAGTGTGGTCTTTTTGTAAAAACATTTTGATATTAAATTACTAAAATATCTAATTTAAGTGTAAGCAAGGATGAGCATTACTGCTTTTGCTTTTCAGAAATGTAATGCGGTAAGTAAGTAAGCTGTTGCACATATAGTTTTAAGCAGCTATTTGAATGAAATTCTTCCACACTTTGGTTTAACCTTTCAAAATCGATCTTAGTAGTAAAAGTAAAATTAGTGTGATTACACTAGTGATTTGCAGGAAGATCTCATGAATGGTTTTTTGGAAAAAAAATAAAAAAATAGGATAAAATAACTAAATAAATATATATATATATATATATATATATATATATATATATATATATATCGAAATTGATTAATCTGATGATTATTTTTTCGATTACTTGATTAATTATAGAAGACTTTTTCCACTTGAGTTCTTGATATATATATATATATATATATATATATATATATATATATATATATATATATATATATATATATATATATATATATACATATATATATATATATATATATATATATATATATATATATATATATATATATATATATATATATTTTTTTTTTTTTTTTTTTTTTTTTTTTTTTACCTTAATTGCTAAAGTGTTTATAAAATTCTTTTACAATTTTGATATAATTAGTACTCTAATTGGGTTGCTCTTTCAGGTAAAGGCATGTTTTAGAGTCTCACTAAATTAGTTGATTTTTTCAATAAACGATTAATCCGATTATGTTTTAGCCCTAATAAATATAAATATATATATATATAAAAAGTATGTGTATGTATATATATATATATATATATATATATATATATATATATATATATACATATGTAAATATATATGTATGTATGTATTTATTTATTAGGGCCGAAACAATTAATTGGATTAATATATATTTTTTATATATATATGTATATATATATAAATATAAAAAATGTTGGAATAGTTTAACCTGTCGACTGGTTTCAAATTTCTCATCTCACTCAGCTCAGAATGCAATCCCAGGGTTTAATAGATGCTTAGAAATTCAGACAGCTGTTACTTAAAGATAGAACCTTCATGAATCATCTTTAACAGACAAATGAGATTTTTTTTCTGCCTTACTAAGTGTAGGTGTGAGGCTTCACCTTTCTTGTATCAAGCTTTTGAATATTTAATGCTAGTGATGTAGTGATGCACATTATCGGCGGTTGTGGATATTGAGCCTATGAGGTCTGAGAGCACTGTTCCATCACAGCTTCTGTCTTACTCTGCAATATGTTACGACGGTGCAAGACTCCATTACACACACAAACACAACATTCTGTTATTTGTTGCACTGGTATTTTAAACTTTATTATTTCGTATTTGGATTTGTTTTGATATGTTTAAGTTATGGGGTTTCAAACCTGTATAAGTCTTATCAGATTCACATCAGACAGCAGCAAGCAGAATCTTGCTGAAACACTAATCAGTAATCGGCAGGGTGAAATATGAATAAGGGTACAAATATGGGTTGTTGGTTAGGAAGGCAGCTCTGCTGGCTGTGTTTGCATGAGTGATTCAGATTCATTGGCGAGGCGGGAACCCCCCTGAGAAACACATTAATCTATCCAGCTATTACCCCGTAATCAATGGGACAGCTGAATTTTACAGCCATGGTGTGTTGTTAACCATTTACGGAGAGCTTATTTAAACAGTGAGCCAAATCTGCCACATTTAATGGAGTTAAGCATGACATATATACATTAGCATACACCGTCCTGTTTTAAAAGGATCCACATGTGCAATCCTTATTTTCTAAATAAATCCTTTCTTTTACAATAAATGCATGCTGGGGAAGGGATCCAACATTGATGGGTGTCACTCACACGTTGCGTTGTGAATCATATAGACGATTGCACATAGTGAGAACACTATGCCAAGGATAGGTGTCATATTTCAGGAGTGCATTATTGTATCTCCCCAGTGGGACGCTGCAGTGCTGTGTGCTGTTTGCGCCCGCTCACTCAAATGCTCCACGATTGAGTCGTAATAACCTCTGCAGGAACAAGATGAACCTCTATGCTGACAGATACGTGTTATCTTGGTACAGCAAGAAACTTCAGATGGAGACTTACAGATACTATCTGTGTGTGTGTGTGTCATGCAGATTTGTGGTTCAAAGCAATAAAAAGTTTCATTAAACTGTGATATAAATCCCCAACTTATATGCAAAAAACGCATGAATGAATACCCACACCTGGATATTTATAGTCATTTACATCTCCCCTATTGACCACCACTTGCAAAGCTAGAATGGCTTCAGAGTGTAAGCTTAGCCACTGATCATTTAAGGCCTAAATAACAATGGATAATGCTCACCTTTCTGTTTGTTAAAGAAAGAGTTGCATCTTTTTTTTGAAAGAGGTCCTATGAAGATACTCTGGCTTTTGTAACAGGGTTTTTGTGGAGTTTGGATGAACAGGCAAAGTATTAGATTTTTTTCTGTTATTAGGTCTGGAAAAATACAAATAACAGTTTTGAAAATATTTGTATTTCCAAACTATCGTGTGCCGTATTGTATCAAGGCTGTTCTTGTTGTCCTGTGTTGTTCCATTCTCATACACTTTCTTCCCATATGTTACCCTCCTTTCTTTCTTCCTCATCTTTTCTTTTATGTTATTCCTTCTTTAAATCCTTTCTTTGTTCCTTTATTAGACCTTTCTTCTCCTGTTTCCTCATTTGTGTCCTGCCTTTTGTCTTTACGGTCTTGTGCCCTTTCTTCTTTTTGCATCTACATATATCCTTGTGTATTACCCTTCTCCATTCCTTTACTCATTTATGAAAAATGTCTTAGCTTGGTTTCTTTTGTCCCTCCTTCTTTTCTTGTATAATTTTTCTTCCATTCCTTCCACCACTCATTCCTGGTGCCCTTCCTATTTTCATTTGCATGTTTTGTACCTCCCTTAAGTCTGTACGTTGTTTATTCCCATCTTTCCCCCCATTAATTTCTTGTTTCCTTTGTTTCTTGGTTACCTCTTCCTTCCATATGTCCTATTCACAAAAAATTCATGTTCTGTCCTATTCACACAACATTATCTTAATCCTGACTGTTGTTCATTCTTCCTTTTCCTTCTTGTTTTATGCTTTTCCCATCTCGTTTCCTTCAGTTCTTTCCTTTTGTGGGTCCTTTCTGTTAAGTTCTTTTTTACTTCCTTCCAGTTTCTATTTCAGTACCCTACGGAAACTTTATAGGTTTTAAATGGATGTAATGAATATAAAATCCACATTTTTGGTCATTGCTTAAAGAAGCAATTGAGACTAAAAGTTTTTTTGAGCTAATGGCTCTCCCACTTCTCTTCTCTTTTTATTTACTTTAATATAACATTCTGTAAGTATTCAACTACCTTAGCCATGCTCTTTAGTAGCTTAGGCTTGTGGAGGCTATCATTGACTATCGTCTGGACAACTGTTTATTAATTTGTCATCATGTCCCAAACATTTCCACTGCCTATTTGTACCAAAGACATGTTTCAGGGTTGTCAGGAGCGAGGAGAGAACCTTCTCCGTTCTCCACGGAGAACTGAGGGTGGGGGTGGGGCTCCTGGAGATGTTGATCTTACCCAGGCCAATTCACTCAGCTGTGAACTGCCCCATTGCATGGTAAATG